TGCAGAGTTTGTCAGCAGCACGTCATGAGAGCACAGAGATTCCGGCCAGTCCTCTACTCTAACCTTGCTATTACCTGGTCCCCGACTAATTTCCTGCAGATTCCTTTATTGCTCTGCCTGGGAGTCTAACATCAGGCTTTTAGCTGAATGACAAGTGAGAATCTCAGTTGCTCTAAGCTCCATCTGTAGCCAATGGAAAGAGATAGAGGGGCAAATCATGTCTCAGGTGGGCTGCATCACCCTCTGAAAATACTGACCCCCTCCATTAACTTTAACCAGACCCGAACTAAAACTAATTCAAGTGCCTAAGGTAAATGTCTGAAATTACACAGCCACAAAGCAGTGATGTAATTGCACACTCTCATCTACACAAGATGGTTTGTTTGCAATGCACCATCACATGGTCCTGGAGGTCAGGAGACTATACTCAGGGCCATTTGTTAGATTTTTTTATATGGCAAGTCAGAAAGCGACACCTGCTGCAAGTTTATGCGTGCAGGGCTCATCTCTCTGTACTGCTGGCTTTCACCACGGGTGGCACTTCTTAAACAGTTATTTACGTGTGCACAAACACGGTTACCACGTAGTTCTGTTTCTTGCTTGATTGCTTTTGGTGGGCACGGAGCCTTAACTATGCTAAAGAAGTGAGAGATTCACAGTCCTGACTTGGTTGTAGTGTGTCTGGTGGGCTGGTAACCTCTATGTCATCCTCTCTGCACCGGGATATGTTTTCAGGTGTGGAGCTGCAAATATGAGGGTATCATCGATTAAACAGACCATGCAGCTGGATCCTGAAATTCTGTTAACAACACACCCAGAGACTTTCTTCAACCAGAAAAGAGCTAAGGCAGCTTCTTCATCCCATGGAAATCAGTGACAAAAGTCTGTGGATTACAATTTCACACTTTACTAAAAGGAAGAAGTCACGGGAGATTTGCTGACTCTCTAACTACATAAAACTCACTTGTCTGGTTTTAAAAACCATGGATGTAAAAAACATGGATGCACACTATCATGGGAGAACTGATATCAAAAAAAATCATGAGGTAAACGTTAAGTCACCACTGGTAATAATATCTGTGGAACAAGGCCAGCACTGGAAAGGAACTAGCCAGTTTTTTTTTACAATATTTTAAATTAGAAATGACAATTAACTGAAACCTAAAGTTCTTTAGAGTTTCAAAGATTTCCAGGGTGATTTTAAAACAAATTCATTTGATTCCAAAAAAGAGACTTCTCTTTCCAAACTTGTAAAATGAGAGCCTTTGAATTTTTTTCAGTTTGAAACAACTTCTCATTCATAAAAACAGAAGATATTTAAATCAAAATTAAAATGAAATTTTCTGGCCGTATCTAAAGGATTTTTTCCTGGAGTTATATAGTCAGTAGAAATGGAGGGTACTTTGACTTTATGTCTAAATGTTTAGGGGAAAAATACTTGGGAGCTTAAAAAAACTGCAAGATGGACAGAAGATTAGTAACTTATGTATTGGAACCAACACCATACAATGACAGACTGAGGTTGTACTGTATTACTAGTGTATGCATTTAAACTCCTCATAAAAATGCCTGCAGTGT